ATGGTGTCTTGACAACATCACCCTAATATGGCCATAAGAACTGAGCTGTCTTGCATCTGACCAGCTCAGAGCACTAGCAGAGCAATCGATTTCTATCCAGAAAGACATCTCTCTCTGAAAAACACTGTGCCCTTTGCAATTACATATCTGCATTGCAATGAGGATTTGTAAAGCCCAGGGTTCAGTACATCCAACATATTTTCCCCCTACTTCATTTGTCTCACAACAAACCCTCTAAAGCACGGCTAACTGGGCAGCTATATCAAATTAATGAATTCTTAGATCATACTATGACCATGAAAAGCTCTACAAGAGTTAGCTAGGCTCTAACAGTTACCAACACGTTAATGAACATTGATTAATTAATGAATAACAACTCATTAACAATTTTTTCTTACTTCTGAAAAAATTACATCTAGATACAGCTGGTTTCTTTCTTCTAGGAAACGATTTCTTTACTTTGTTTTCAGCTTCCCAGAAAGCATTACCATTATTAATAACCAATAATAAAGAGGAAATCAGCAGCAGTTGCTAAAAATAAATTCCTGACAATGCAGATTAAAAGTCTTGCATTTCTGGGTGGACGAATGTAGGAATAACACTAAACGAAATAGTGGCAGGCTGGGGGACTGAAAGTAAAAGGAACTGTTAGAAAAAGTATGTGCTGCTGGAACACCTTCCAAATCCTGGATGCTTGCAAGCTTCTGCTGCCATCAACAACAACTTCCATTTCTCATGGAATATATCGTAATCATTTTTTTCAAAAACTCCAAATCAAGAACGCAAACAGCAATTATCTCTCTATATTAATGGACAAATACATTCATAAGTCTATATTCACCCAAACATTCACTGGACAACTCTAGATTTGTCTCTACACAAACACACCTGCTAGCATTTATCTTTTATACATGTTTCCAGTCAAGTCTACCATGTTTTTTAAAACAATATAGAACCTACACAGAGACAACTTTGGCTTTGGTCCTGCTCTAGAGACTACCTAACAAAAAATTTTGCTTCTGCCTCCAGCATCTTATATTAATTCTTTTAATCATTCTCTGCTATCTCACACTGTTCATTATATAAGAAGAATAAATTTCCCATGGCAGTTATAAATAAATAGATTTTAAGAAGAATGGAAAGGTTTGTGTTTTTGCAGTACATTTGATGATATAAAAGTACGGAAGTCAGTCATTACACACTCTGAGCACTGTTATTATGCTGTAAAATAGCAATGCCTCACTGCCTTTGGGGGTTAACTCTCCCATTAATTCTAAGCTCAATAAAATGAAGATCACAATCCAGACAAAAGGTCTTGACTCTGCTTTCCTATTTATGCTGACTAGAACTTCCTTAAGCAGGAGGTTACATTGGTTATAATGGCTGTACTGAAATCAGAAAGGATTGTAAACCATTGAAACTGGAGGCAATAACTCACAAGCAAACAGAAAATAAACATTATGACTATCTGACAATGACATTTAAGATGCATGAAACCTCTGACTGCCAGAGAATAAGAGCAAGTATTAGTCACAGAAAAATTCTAATGCACTTCAGACTGCTTTTGGCTGTTTTCATGGTTGTTTCATGTTAACATTTTCACAGCTTCTTCACAAATTCTAAATTTCACATTTGTAAGAATTACTATTCTTCAGCAGCATCCTTCCATTGGTCCCCCAAGCCACAGCATGCTTGCAATGTGGCTAGTAATTTGGCTGCTCTTCAAATTTGCTTTTCTCTGACTTGCACCTCCTCAACCATCCTCCAGCTTCTCCCATGCTGTGCTGAAAGTACTAGCCTGACAAGCAGCCTTCTCCTACTGAAAGGGGCTCAGTATCCCGTTTGAAATACATAAATGAGAACTCCTGCCTAATTATGATGACGCATACAATGACTGGGCATGGCAGTTCTCCTCTGCAGTTTAGTAAAAGGATGTAATTCTGACTCTTTGTCCACTCCACCTCTGCTCTGGTGTAAAGTCTTACTGCATTTTTCCTTTCTGGCTCAGTGCCCATTCTGTGTCAATGGGAATCACCCATCTGTTTCAGCTTCATGTAAACAGTGTCGTGCAGAGGAGCCCCTAGCTTAAACACGACACTTTCCTTTCTTCTGGAGTCTCACATATCCTTCCACTGATCCCAACAGCAAAGACAAGCGTCCTGGTTTTGGCTGGGATAGAGTCAATTCTCTTCCCCGTAGCTGCTGGGTTTTGGATTTAGTATGAGAAGAATGTTGATAATACACTGATGTTTTTAGTTGTCACTAAGAAAATAAAGGACCTTTTTACTGTTTCCCATGTTCAGCTAATGAACAGGTGTACGAGAGCTGGGAGGGAGCATAGCCAGGCAGCTAACCCAAGATGGTCAACAGAAATATTCCATACCATAGATGTCATGCTCAGTGTGTAAGTGGGGCTTGGCCGGGGGAGGCAGGAATTGGCGAGTTCGGCGAGTTCCACGAGTTCCACAATTGCTGCTCAGGGACAAGCTGCACAATTGGTCACCAGGTGATGGGAAAAATTGTATTGTGTATCGCTTGTTTTGCATATTCTTTATTCTTTATTATTGCTATTATTCTTTCTTTTTTTTGTCTTATTAAACTGTCATTATCTCAACCCATGAGTTTTATTTTTTGTCGATTCTCCTCCCCATCTCTCTGGGGTTGCCGGGTTAAACCACAACAGACAGAAAGGGGCAAACACCTAAGCTAAAGAAAGAAGCAGAGAGCAGTGGGAGAGCAGCAGAACCATGGTTCAGCGTAGTGGGACAGTGGGAAGAATCAGCATAAGGACAAAGTGACTACTGATGACAGAGGCAAAGAAGTCAATTTATTGGGTTAATTTCCTGCAGGTACACAGCTCCCAAAGAGCGTAAGCTATTAAACAGCCACTACACATCATTGTAACGTGAAGATCCATAAGAAGAAGCAAGGCAAAAGAAGCTTACTGTGGTACAACCTGCCACAGGGCAGGAGGAAAGGATCCAGGAATCTACTAGAAAGTAGAGTCTGAATGGACAAGAATAATGGAAAATTTGGAGTAAAGCCAAGCTTAACAACAAGTTGTAAGGATAATTACAGAAAGACCATGCTCTCACAAAGAAGATGGTTCTGGAAACTGAGTTGTATCTGATGGCAGAAATTAGAGTGAAAACAGAAGAACGTCTGAGGTAGAGGAGAGGGAAGCTGAATAAGGCTCAGATTTCATGCCTTTTTCAGCAACTATCTGGAAAAGCAGTTGAAGGCAGAAAAAACCCCTGTCAGTCCTCTACTAACATGTTTGAAATTCAGTTCCTGTAAAGAAAACGTATGAATATTTTTAATACTACATCACTTAAAGTAAGCACTTGCAGTTCCTAAAAGTACTGTAACTTCTCACACAACAGAAAATGTCCTGCCTTTCTTAACAGCTGAAATACATCTCTTCTGCTTCACAGAAGACAAAAGTAGACATTGGCATTCCTAACTAGGAAATATTACTAAAAGTGAAAATCAGTGGCATTCACTGAATTTTAAACACTGAAATGGAGAGCTGTTTCTAAAATCTGTTCCGAGAAGTCATTCTTAGTCAATAGTTTCTCTTTTTTACTGCATGCTTTGTTATCTCTGTTGGCCAGACTATTACTGCCGCAATACAATTTTCTGCTTAGTTAATGGCACAGTATCTCGCATCTATATAATGATATACGGGGTAATTTTGAAGATGAATTAGATACAATGCAAAATTATGCTTAGCCTGAAAGGCCAGGTAGAGTCTCCCAGTTCCCTGTACTCCAAAGAGCATGACTGAACAAGATGGGGAGGTGGCTAGACGAACCTGGGTCGGGGTAATCCCCAGTATCAATACAGGCTAGCGGATGAGGGGTTTGAGAGCAGTCCTGCCAAGGAGGACTTGGGGGTGCTGGTGGATGAAAAACTGGACGTGAGCTAATAATGTGCACTCATAGACCAGAAGGTCAGCTGTATCCTGGGCTGCATCTAGAGAAGCATGGCCAGCAGGTCGAGGGAGGTGATTCTGCCCCTCTACTTCCCTCTGGTGTGACCTCACCTGGAGTCCTGCGTCCAGCTCTGGAGCCCCCAGCGCAAGAAAGACATGGACCTGTTGGAGCAGGTCCAGAGGAGGCCACAAAAATTATCAGAGGGCTGGAGCACCTCTCCTGTGAGGAAAGGCTGAGAGAGTTGGGGCTGTTCAGCCTGGAGAAGACAAAGCTCCAGAAACACCTTATAGCAGCTTTGCAGTACTTGAAGGGGGCCTACAAGAAAGCTGGAGAGGGACTTTTTAGCAGGGCATGCAGTGACACGACAAGAGGTAATGGTTTTAAATTGAAAGATGGTAGATTTAGATTAGATACAAAAAAGAGATTCTTTACTATGAGTGTGGTGAGGCACTGGACCAGGTTGCCCAGATGGGTGGTAGATGCCCCATCCCTGGATACATTCAAGGTCAGGTTGGACAGGGGTCCCAGTTGAAGACGTCTCTGCTCATTGCAGGGGGGTTGGACTAGATGAACTTTAAAGGTCCCTTCCAACCCAAAAGCTATTCTACGATTCTATGATTCTAGATCTCCGGTCTCAGTGTGCCTGCTAGTCCCTAGCAGTAATGGGCAAGGAAAAAATACCGGTCTTTGTAAAAACATGTGGGGAACATCACCTCCAAAGTTAGATGCCTCTGACTCCTTCAGCACGCTTCCCGCATGTATCTTACGGTAAGTACAATGTCTCAAAGCCTTTGAACTCTGTTACCACCGGTTCCATGTCTCCCTCCTTGTACAGGACAAACAAAGCCACACTTTGATTTCTGTTTTGCCTAGGAAACACTGAATATTTTAGTTTGTTCTCAGCTTCCCAATCACCAAACTGTACTTTCGCACTCTTTGCAACTTTCAATTTTTGTCTGCCATATTTCTTGCCCCCAAAACAAGTTATAGGAAGAAAACCAGTTAGTTCAGCCGTGAGAATTTGAGAACTTCAAATACTGTGTAGAAGTAAACAGCAACACTAACCTCTTTCATTTTTTCCAGTTCATTCTGTAGTGCTTGTTTGGCAATTTCGACTTCTATAAGCTGCTGTCTTAATTTTTCATTTTCATCTTCTGTTACAGTACGTTTTTCTTCCACGTTTTCTAACTCATGGTGAAGTCTCACGGATACATCTTTTGCAACCTAAACGAAATGATATTTCAAAAGAAAGATTAAAAGAAGAATTACTGCTGCGGTGCTTAGTGCCTAAGAAACCATTTACAGGTTAATTCCGAGTGCTTTGATGGAAGCAGTAGGAAAGGAAATTTAGACAAGGACATCCACAGATAGAGTTTTAAATGATTCAAAATTCAAGCCGATTCCTTCCAGAAATGGTGTAGTCTTCCTATGGACTTCACTGGAAACCACATGAGACAGGAAACCCCAACTCCTTCTTAGGTTCAGTTATGACAACAGTGAAACAGGACCTTCGCTGTTCCTGGAGACGGTGCAGCTTCTATTTTCCCTCAACAACTGCTAGCTTATGTTTTTCAATGCACTGAGGTGGACGCCCTTCGCATACTTGACATACAGAAGCATCTATAAGCAGGGCCCACCTTCTCCAGGCCAACCGCACCTGTGCCTTGTACAGGACCACAAACGGACACATCTTTATTTCGACCCTGCTGGTTTCTTTGTCCTGCCTGGACAGTTAATCTAATTATCTGGCATTTGCTACTATTGGCTAATTTAAAGAGTAAAATAGGAACAAGCAACATGCTTACTGACCTGTTGTTGACCCAAATGATGTCCAGTATTTTACATGAAAGTGAACGCTAAGGTTTTTGCTTTTGTCTCTTTTTTTAATGCATTTTCACAGGAATAAAGTTAAAAGGCACATGTCAAAATCTAACTCCTCTTCTTCAAGTAAAGTAATGAGAATTTTGCCATTCAAGCCACTTGCATTGTATTTTGTGAAACCACCAGAAATTATAACCGTGCACCAAAAATATTTAAATATACACTAATCACTGTTATGATGGTGATTTAGAGACGTAGTTTGAAAAGCCTAATTTCCTGCTTTTTTTAGAACATTGGAAAGTATAATTAATCCTTCTTAGCTTTAGCTAGGGGAGCTCAGAGAGCTACCCTTTATGGCTTTCACTAGAACGATCTTTATGTTTTTATGTCAAAGAACTCTCTTTGACATACTAAAACTCTAAAGAAAAAAACAATAATTGCAAGCAAGCAGTCTAGAAGAATCCAATCTATCAGCAAACAGCAGCAGCTAGTGACTCAGCCTCCCCCGACAAGAAAGCCAGTGTGTGTGAACTACAGATACAACGCTGCAGTGTAGCACACGATCGTTCAGCAACCTCCCCCTCTGCACGCACACTCAACACACGTAACGCCCATCAGAGAGTGGAGAGGAATTTCAATTATAAACATACTCCAAAGAGACTGCAGGATGAGCTGAGAATCACACCACAGGGCTGTATCTTGATGTCTTTTCCTACACTCGGTATTAAACTGCTCATCTGGTCGTCCAACCAAAGTAAATGGAAAATCATGGGGGACATTTTTAACAGCATCCTATCAGAATCTGCCCTTGGTCCATAGACACAGTCTGTGTCAGTAAATACAACAACATAACAAAGTCATTACCAGTAGTGATTTTTTGACACAAGATTTGATGGCATGGCAATTAATGCAGGGAAATCCTACAGAGCATTCTAGATCATCTGGGAAATGGGACTCACTTAAGCAAGATGCATTTTAATTCAGCTAAATGCAAGACCGCATCTCCGAAGGATTAAGTCCCCTGATATATTTATTAGCCATGCCAAATGGACAAGATTATTTTGGATATAAATTCTTCAGAGGAGGACTTGGGAACACTGCAGAGAATTGCACATGAGTTACAATTCTGGTTAGCCAGCACCTGGAATTCAATCAGGCAGAAATCTAGCGTTGGACGTTCATCCCAACTCCAAAGCAGCACACACTCATGATCTGTGGGAACGCTTTGCCAAAACACTATTCCTTTCCAAATAGACCGTTGTACGGTTATTGGGTTGGACATGGGAGAAATCCTAACTAAGGTGAGCCCTTTGTCCAGCCCAGCGTAAGGCCTCAGCTCCTATCTCCTATGCCGCAGGCGAGCACCTCGCCAGAGGTGCCCTCACCATTTCCCTCCCAGTCCCTTCGTGTGAGTTACTCGCTAACGCAAAGCAACACTGAGCCAACAAAGAAACCAACCCTGTGAGCTGGAGCCACCACATTCGCTTGGGACGCGAAGGCTCACGTTCAAATTCTGCCTGCAAAGATGCGTGGCTCATCTATTCACCTAAGCGCCATTCTGAGTGCGCAAAATGCCCCTTGCTGCGATCAGCAAGCCCATCTGATCGCCGACAAAGGGGTCATTTCGCTTCCGACCAGGCAGACGCTCTCTTGCCAAGAGCCACGTGAACAGCTCTGTACTCACAGAACTGTCACGGCCACAACAGCAAACGTGGTTTTTGAATCCGCACAGGAAAGGAATATCAAATAGAAATACAGAGAAGGATATTGGCTTTTTCAGTTACACTAGTGAGAAAATTCCTGAAACGTGTCTCGGACTGCTGTCCACATTTTAATAGGAACGATGCCAAGCTGGAAAATTTCCAGAAAAGATGATCCAAGCCTGCAAAGCAGGCCTGGGAATAACAGACTCTCAATCCATTATACTTATCGGAAAGAAGTGTAAGAACGACCTTGCACCTGATCATGTATTAATTTAGGATCTTCAGCTGCAGCCCACCGAATCCAGCAAGCCGTGGGTAACTAGTCCTACACAGAGGACAAATGTTGCACTACGGAGGTCTCCACTTCCACGAGAAATGGAGGGAGACCTGTCAACTGGAAAAAGTTTAGGAGTCCTGATTAAGTAGGAGCCTTATCAAAGCCTAGTGGATGGAAGCAGAAATTAAACAGCTTCCAAGTAGCACAGGAAAGGGGTTCTTTTCTGTAACTGGACCAACCTAGAATGGAGACCATGGATATTTTACCAACAACAATCTTTAAACCAGGACGGAAACTCTTCCTCAATAATGGGCTGCAGTTCATGCAGACATTATGGATTCAATACTGTTTCTCACGCATTGAAATTTGATGTGTCTGTGGTTTCGGGTGGAGGTAGAAGATCCTGCCTTCAGTGAAGAAAACAGCAGGTTTCACACCGACCAACGGAGTCAGGATTTCATGCTGTGACTCCGCCAGAATTCAATCTACCAGTCCTCTGAAGTCTTCACTAAAGAGCACAGTAATCCCCTCAAAGTCAGCGGGATGATTCCGTCAGGTGGGTTTAACTCTGCGGTGGCAGGGTACGTTTTGCACTCATCATCAAAGATCCAGAACGTCTAGACCCTAATTTGTATCTGAGTCACTCCTTGCACATTAACTTTACAAAAAATGATGGGGCTAAAGCTGGAAATAGCCCACCCACGTGCCGACGGGCTTCTGTCACCAAGCTAAGCTCGGCCGTTGCCACCCCGTGAGCCGCATCGGGTGCAGAGCGCACGACGACACGGATGGAAACGCCTGAGTCATGAGGACCAAGAGCACGCCGGTGCCGCCGACCGAGGCGCTCCCTCCCCCTGACGCCCGCTCACGTCCGTACCTTGAGGTCCTGCTCCATGCTGCGCAAGAGCTCGCCGTCGATCTCGCCGGTCTGGGCGTAGCGGAGCCTCTTGCGCTCGGCCTTGCGCAGCCGGTACTGAAGGATCCGGCAGTTCTTGTTGGCTCGCTCCAGTTCGTGGCGCATTTCTTGCAGCTGGCAAGCGTCCTCCTCGAAGAAGCTGTCTCTCATCTCGTCCATCTCCGTCCTCAGCTCATCGATCTCGTTCTGGCGCCGGGGCCAGCAGGGGACGGGGACGCAACAGGTGGGTCAAAAGCACAGATGTCAGCACGGACGAGGGAAGGCGGCCAACATGGAGCTCCTCCCCGCAGGGACACCAGCTCGGCGCACCCCGGCTCGTTAAAACCACCGCAAGGAAGCGGAGGA